GGTTTCGGATTTAGGGTTTAGGGTCGTTCCGCAAAGCTCAAATTGGCGCAAAGGCCATCATTGATTGAGAAGGTTCAAGACTGGCTTCACAAGGCTCAGTTTTGCTTCAGAAAAACCAGAAAAGAATCGGATCCCAAATGCAAAGTTGGCTTGGTGGACCCAGCACCCTGTAACAGTGGTATAGGAATGTAAGAGGACTTGACTACATAGTACACTTATCCCTTTTAGTCAACATGTCCGCCTGAGGGTCCACCTAAGAAATCTGTTCTGAAGGGAAACCAAATTTGGCACCAAAAGGCCAAAGAGCAAACACTGGCCAAGTTGGCTCCAAACACTCACATTAGCTCCGAATGCCCAAGCTGGTTCCAAATGGGTTTGGGCAAGCACAACTTGGTCCCAGTGGGCCACGTTGGATCCAAAAGACAATGAAACTGGCTGCAGGGAAAAAACCGGCTGCTGTTAAGCAACTTAAATTAGTGTACCTCAATTGGGGTATGTAGTAAATCATCAGGGTTTATAGTAACCCTTAACCGTAAACACCCTAAACCCTACATACCCTAACCCCTATATACCCTTATTATAGCAACTTGATTTGCGTTCCTTAACAGCAACCCAGATTAGCTCCGCAAAGCCCGACCTGGCTGAAAACGCCAACATATGTTCCAAAACGCCAAATTTGCAAAATTGCACCAACAGTCCCAAATTTTGCTCCAGAAGGCCAAAATAGGATCCAAAACTCAAGATTCACACCGAATTCGCACCAACCCTAAACCCTAAACCCTAAACCCTAAATGAATTCTACGACTATTTGGGGCCTTCTGGGGGAAGGTTTGGGCTTTGGGGGCTAAGGTTTGGGATCCCATATGAGGGTCCAAGAGCCTTAGGGCAAACAACAAAACCCAAGCTCAAACCAGCTCCAAAAGGCTCAAATTCTAAACCGTCAGAAGCCGTGTAGGGTTTACCTAAACCCCAAAAGTAGGTAAAATAATGGCCCAAAACCCAAAATAATAGCCCAAAAGACCATTATTCTACATACCTTTGGGGTCCAGGTAGGGTTTAAAGTTTATGGTTTATAAGGTTTGTTCCAACAAGCCCAGATTGGGTTCGAAATGCTGAAATCGGCGGCAAGAATCTCCCAATCCATCCTACAAGCCCGCTGTGCATACGAAAGAGATGAAGAACCTGGAAGCCTTCTTGCCGGGCATGAGGCCGTGACTTCTGAACCCTGAACAGCCCGTGCTTTTAGACCTTGAGGTATGGATGCAAGGGCTGGAGATTGGAAATCCCTCCAAGCAAACTAACCCCAGATATCCCAATCTAAAGGGGAAGTAGTGAACATAGGCACGCATTTTCGGTTCGACGTCAGTTAGGAGGTGCAGGCGACCAAGAAACATGACCTGTAAAGGGATTTAAGGATGTAGGATCCTGTGTATGCTGGACTTATGACTTACTGGTTTAAGTATAAACTGACTGAACAGATGAAGAGGTGTCCTCTAAGTTTGCCGAAGAAAAGCGTTAATGTCGAGGCAAAAGCAATTACGAATATCTTTTTGAGGTCTATTCGAGGTAGCCTGTACCATAATCATATGAGGAATCTAGGACCATAATCTTACCCAATATGCCCACCCAGCCGCACAAGGCATAGGGGCAGCATCCAAAGGAGAATGACACCCGGGACCATAATATTGGCTATTTTGACACCTAAACCCTAAAACGCTATAGCACAGAATCCTTATACACTGCATCATGGATCTGGGTAGCTGCTATCTACCCTCTCCAAACAAACATGGAAGCTGCACATGGTGCACTTTCCAAAGGGCAGTAATATTTCCGGTGCCTTTTTTGGGCTTCCAGATTAGCTTGGGGAACTGCAAAGGGAAACTCCGCACACATGTCAGCCGTCTGAGATACTACTTCAAGCAACCACCTTGAACCAGACAGACCCGGAATGTGTGCCAAATGCAACAAAGGGTCCCCCTTTTATGTACCCCGAGTGCATGATAATCCCTAAGCCCTAAACCCTAAACCCTGATAATCCCTACGGAAGGGGCTCCCCACAAAAGGGCCCCCAATTTTTGGAAACTCCCATACGACAAAACTGAACTATGAGGTTGCCGAGGATAGTTTAACCCTAAACCCTAAATCCTAGGGGTTTAGGGGTTTAGGGTTTAGGATCATGATGCTGGTGCATGAAGGGTCATGCGACTTGGAAACCTCTTATAGCAGGAGCTACAACTGTACTGAACATTTCGGTTCTATAAGGCCAGTTGGGGCGTGATGAGTAGGATTGTAAGCCCAGTTATAAGTAGTTATTACTGAAAATCTGCATGACCTTGGTGTGCCATAATGCCCTGAGTCCCCAGAGGTATAAGATACTTATGGTCATGCAGGATCCGAGCATCCACTAGCATGTCCCACGAACTTCCAAATACCAAGACCACCCAAGCCAAAGCCACACTCCCTCCAACCTCACTTGCGCAAGGTCAGGTTTTAGGGTTTAGGGTGTTACAGGGTTTACAAGACGTTATAAGGCATTCTTTGGTTTATACGCTTTCCTAGGGTTCAGGGTTGAGTTGGGTGCTGACTGCCCCCACCCAATAAGAGTCCTATAACGGCCATACATCTTCATAGTCTATATGTTGTTCAGCAGTTACTGGGTGGGGGCACTACCCAAGGCTTGGAGTTTAGG